GGGGGGGGGGGTATACCTAAAAAAATTTGATTAGAAAATATTATAAATGATATTTCTTTATTAGATTTAAATGAGAATTTGACTTTTAACTAGACACAGTGGCGAAAAAAGATTCATGTAGCCGACCCCACGTAGTGGGACAAATGATTGATGTTATTGTTGTTATTGGTGGTGGTGAATACAACGAACATTGATGTTAATTCAAAATGGAGCATAGTAGTGGCAAAAATAGGCGTAGATGGACATGAATAATCGACATTAAGAGATGGAAATAATAAGCATCAATGTTGGTTTGCAAATGGTATATACAGTGCGATAGTAGGTATCAATTTGGGTCGGTGGCCAGTGTAAAGTGGTGGCAGTTAGAATACGCCACATCACCCATCTGCTTGGTTCTATGACTCATTACTGTTGATGTTGTGCATTCTGATTTTATCTTCGAATAACATTCTACATCTAATCACCGCAGAAAATAAATTTTCACATAGAAAAGAATAAATATATCTTTTTAATCTCATTTCTATTGATATTTGTACTGCATAAGATGATACACAGAACATGATAACATCAACATTTGGCACAAATTTCAAGAACATTTAAAAGCTGTAAAGTTTGAATTTTTTATTTAAACAACGAAACATAAATTATGAATTTGATCTTTTGACTTAAGAAAGTTAGAGCTTTGAAGCTATCCATCATTCATGCTTTCTTTTATTATTTATGTGAACGGTTTGATACGCAGTTACCTGCTTCATGACACATCACGTGATCCACGTGAGCGATTTTAATATTCTTTTTCTCTCCTCCTACCTACCCGTCAATGTTCAGTCATATGACTATTTATTTATTTATATATTTAACTTTTGAGCTGATTAATTTTAAATTTAATATTTCTAAACTTTAATTTCCTATTCTAACCTATTTAGGTCTCGTCGTTTGAGACAGCCTTATTTCTTCTTCCTAAAGTATATTTTTAATACAAAAAAAATTATTTTTTGAACTAAAAATTTATTTTAAAAAACAGTAAGAAAGACGTCCAGAACGAACCTTAGAGTAAAATCTAATAAACCCTAATTCTATATGATAATTGGTCATTATTGCACCTAATTCTTTTCCAAATCAAACCCTTTGTAGTCATCTCCTATATTGAAGTGAAAACCCTAAAGTTTCACTTCTTGTAAAACTCTTTATTTTGGCTCCTTTTGATATAGCTCTTATATTGCTTTATAATAGTCATAATGTTCCATCATGAATAACCCATCACCAAAACATATCATGACCATTAAAGAAAAGAGCATTAGATGAAAAAATAAAATTTAAGCCTGCTGATAAGTGTAAATAATGTGTTATTTTATATGATTTTTTTTAAATGTGTAATTTTAGTTGTATTATATAGGAAAAATATAGAAAATTCTAAATTTTATATAGTACTACAGCGTTGGAACAAATAACGTCACAGTACCATCAAAGACACCGCCAAAGGGCTAGAATATCAGTATTGCAGCGTTGAGTTCTCTATTGTCAAGCACTTCTGCGTCACAATCCATAATGCATTGGCACCCAAATTACCCACCCAGTGCCGTAGTGTCCGAACGTCAGCAGCGACGCGGTTTTGTAGTTGTAATTTCCGAAGTACTCGATGTTTCAATGAAGCGAGTCAGCGACATGATTGTTAACTAAGTAACTGATCCATGTAAGCAAGCACCTCGGTGGCACTAGAAAAATAGCATAGCAACGTTAGTTCATTTATTAGGTGCAGTGGTATCGATCTTTCTAGTGCCATAATGTCAAATGCCTATTTTGTGTTTTCTTATAAATAGTTATAGTGTTATGTTTATAAGAGACTTCAGTTAGTTAGATAATTTAAGTCCAATTCAAAGTGCTTCTTTGAAACTTCCTTAGGGTGACAACTAAGAGAATTTAGAAAAAAATATTTGATACCATCATTAGAGTATTTGACTTGTATTTATGAAAGCAAATCTATAAGTAAAGAGCAGTGTAGAGGAGATCCGTTGAACCATTTTGGTAATATCTACCTCTTGTATTTTCTTTAATTCTACTCCATATCTAGCTAAATTCTCTTATTTTGGATTGGTCATGTAAGTATCATATGTAGTACAAATAAATTCTCTTATTCCTTAACTGATTAAAAATATATTTTTAATATTACTAGATATTTATTTAATGCTCATAGTGGCTCTAAGTATAGTTAAAACTAGGAGTAATGTGGGGCCTCGATGGAGGGAAGCAAGCATAACTAGGAATATTGAATTAATATGCATCATGCCTCGACATAGGATATGGAATCCCTTAAATTCCTAAGGAGATAATATAATCATAAGAAGTCGATATACATCCTTTATTCCTACAAGCTCGATAGAGATTTAGTGATGCATATGCTCTACATAACATCACAATTAAAAGAGAATCATTAGGAAAAATATGTTATTTATATTTATCATTATTATATATATCCTTATAGTACATTCATTATTTTATCTAATTTTATTTAAGTGATTGAATCTCTACAACTTTTGTTTTTATTTAGTATGATAATTATTATAATTTTAGTAGATAATACTAGTGTTTGCAAGTGAGTACATTTTCCTTGTGGGATTGACACTCTACTTTGTCACTATATTATTTGATTCAATATGTATACTTATGTATATAAGTATATTAAGTAAGGATTTTATAATTTTTATGTATCAAAGAAAGCCTAAGTATTGCTTCTATTAAAAGAAGTACTTTGAATTGGAGTGAAATTATATAAGTAAGGATTTTATAATTTTTAAGTAATGATTGATAGAACCCTAATTTATTTCATAATTTTATAGGTTACTCCATCGCCCCCATAAAATTTGGCACTGTTGCTGGGGAAGATTTTATTTTTTTTTTTGTAAATTTTGGACTATATTATTGAATTAATTATATATATAGTTAGACCAACTTAAATTTTTTTCTTTTTATTATTTTATATTTTGATTATTTGTGTATTTTTGGTTGCATGCTTTATAGTCTTAGAAAGGAATTGTTAACATTTGATCATGAAATTGAGAGAACCTTTTCTAAAATTCAGAAAATAAAAAATATATTAAAAATGAGCAAAATCATTCTAGATCTTTTAAGGATTATGCAAACCTTTTAGTAGATGGAATTCATCGGAGCATAAATATACCTACAATCCAAGCTAATAATTTTGAATTAAAACCAATTATCATTCAAAAAATTCAAAAATCTCAGTTTGGGAGAACTTTTGTAGAAGAAACTAATTTATATTTAGCCCATTTTTTTTAGAAATTTGTATAATATTTAAATATAATGGTATCACTGATGATTCTATTAGACTTAGATTATTTACCTTTTTTCTAAGAGATAAAATAAAAATATGATTGAATTCTTTATCCCGGACTCTATAACTACATGGAATGAATTGACTCATAAGTTTCTCGCTAAATATTTTTCACCTTAAAAAATTGAAAAATTTAGAAAAGATATAACTTATTTTACTCAATATAAAGGGGAATCTATTTATGAGAGTTAGGAAAGATTTAAGTAAATGCTTACAAAATGCCTACATCATGTATTACCTAATTAGTTGATAATTTAAATATTTTATAATAGATTAGTAGGATCTCTTATAGTTATAGACATAATTGATGCTGCAATTAGAAGATCATTAATGTCTAAGCTAGTTGAGGAAGCTTATGTATTAATAGAGGAAATTACTACTAATAATTTATGTAGCCTATTGATAGGATATATTTTTTAAAAATAACTAAAATTTATGAATAAGATGCTTTATCAATTTTAACTATACAAGTTGCAACGATTTAAAAAAAAAAAAAAAAATGAATACTATAGAATAAATTCTGAAATAGGAACAATGATCTCAAGAGATCAAAATTTAATTTAAGATAATTAATAATAAGCAAGGGATTGAACACATTAATATAATTGGAATATATATATATATATATATATATATATATATAATTTAAGTTGGAGGAATCATCCTAATTTTAATTGGTCAAATAATATGGGTGATAATAATTAATGGAATGATGGGCAGAATAATCAGGGAGTAAGTTGGAGCACTTCTCAACAAACTATTGTTATTCCTAGACTTATAAATCCTCCAGGATTTAATCAAATCAATAAAATTGGAAACAAAAAATAGCATTGAAAGATGTAGTTATGTAGTTAGGAACTCATTTATAAAATCTTGCTGCTTCTATTAAAAATTTGAAAACTTAATAAGTCTCCTTGTAATTTTAATTAATAGTAAACCACTTAGATCTTTACCTCGTAATACTAAAATAAATCCTATAGAAAAAAAAAAGATCTTAATGGAAGTCAAGTAAAGAATGGAAATAATTTACCCCAACCAAATTGAAAAACATCTAGATAAGTCTAGCTGAATACTATAAACTTAATGTTGTGTTGGAGGCAACCCGGATTTATGTATTGTTAGTTATTAAATATGGCTGAAGACTATAAATTAAGTGCTTGTGGGATACAATCCAATTGATATGTTATGCATGGTGCTTAGTTCACTAGTTATCTTGTAATCAATGTAATATTATGTTATGTTTTGTTATATTTTATGAACATATATTTTATACTTCTTTTATCATTCATATGAAAGTATGTGTAGTACTGTTCCTTGTCGTTTTGTTTCTTTTATTTACATTTTATTAAAAACCCCCTTATACTTATTATACTTTTTTTTATTAATTTTTGTATTCTAATAAATTAATTAACCTTATTAAAAATAATAATTAAAATTTATATAAAATTAAGAAAATAATAAGACCCTATATCATAGTTTATATGAATACTATTTATACTTCATAGAGTGAAAAAAAACTATTAATTATCTAACCTAGATCATTTACATTATTGCTTTAATTTAAAATTATAAGTTATACTTTTGTTTATTGATTTTTGAAATAAAGATGAATAATTATAATTAATGATTTGATATGAGTAGATTAAAATAAAAAATCATAAGTAATCCAAAGTTGAAATTGATTATCCTATTAAATTCTTACAGAAAATTCATTAAGATTATAAAAACGGGTTCAAAGTAAAAATTGATATTCAAAATTATTAACTATGTACTCCATAAATTAAAAGAGAAAAAGAACGATGAAAATAGTTTTAAAAAGAAAAAGAAAAAGAAAAATAGTGAAAAAAGAAAAAAAGTGAGTACATTCAAAAATTGGTAGAAGTTAAAAGCTTATAATCTGATTTCAATCTTATACTTAAATTTATAAGGGCAAAATAAGAAAACTAGCATAAATGATGATGAATTAAAACTAACTAGCATAAATGTTACAAATACTAGTGAATTCATTCAAACTGGGCCAGGCCCCGTGGTTTTTTCCCTCTTTTCAGGGGTTTTCCACGTAAAAACTCTGGTGTCTCTTATGAATGCCACACCCTCTCACTTATCTGCTTGTGTGCTGGATCTTCGTACAACGCTAAGACGATAAACTTTATATTTCTCTACCGCCTCGAATATTCCAGGACGCAACAATGATGAATTAATAAAGTTTTAATTTTAACTACAAATACATATAATCATTAAGCTATATTATTCACTTTAAAATTTAAAAATTAATAATTAAAATTATTACCTGTAAATTCAATTTAAACAATGATAAGAATAATTGATTAGTATAATTATTAATATCGTTTCTAAACTATAATTATAATCTTGTTCATTTTTTTACTACTTCTACAGTATGATGTATTATCTTATATTATAACAAATTTTATATTATCATTTTTTTCTTTGATTAATTATTTAATTAGAATCACAATATTTTTATTTACTTGAGTGCAAGCAAGAATTTAAGCTGAGGAGAATTTGATAAGTGTAAATAATGTGCTATTTTATGTATCATATTTTTTTATTAAAAATATGTTATTTTAGTCGTATTATGCAGAAAAAATACAGAAAAGATATATAATTCTAAGTTTCATATAGCGCCACTGCATCGGAACAAATAACGCCGCATCACATCAAAGGCATCGCTGGAATGCTAGAATAATAGCCTTGCACCACCGATTTCTCTTCGAGCTAAATAGAAAATATAAATCTTAAAAACGAGCATAAAATTCTTGACACATTTTTTTTATCTTTGATTGATGAATATGATGGGTTAAAGTAAAAAAAAGTTAATTATTATATTAATCTTTACTTGTTTGAAAATTAGAAAAAGAAAATATTTTATTAATAGCTAGATCAAGACTATGTTTAAAATCTCAAGCTTATCATAGTATTCCATCTAGTATAATGCTTATTAGGAATCATGAAACTTATGCACATTCTATTCATGCATATTCATATCAAGCACATAAAACTAGACCTTATACAAACATCAAAATTTAGTGTAATTTTAATAGTATAAAATGTTATATTTGCATTTTTTTTGTTAGGCTAATGGACCACAACTTCACATACAATCACCATTTATATTGGTATCTAAAGGTTCCTACATTAATTTATAATTTCTTTTTTTTTTAATCTACTTGTATTTTTGCAAAGTATGTGATTTGTTAAACGACCAAGCATACACACACGAGAGTAAAAATAATAAAATTAAAAATTATATATATAATCATATCATATAAATCAGTTCATATTTTATATGTGGCATGAGAAAACTTTCAAAATATTAAATGAGAATATAAACTGGATGAAAGCTAATTCTATGATAAATTATGATACGATCAGTTATATATATATATCACTACTTCTATAATTTTAGTAAAGAGTTTAGAATATTTTTCTTACTATTTATGAAGTAGTTTTTTAAAACAAAAAAATTCTAAATCAATAATTTTTTTACTGCAAATTTGATTTAGAACGGCCCCAAACGGAATCAAAATAAAATAATATAATAAATTTATTTATATTTATGATAATGTTCATTCTTGACTTTTTTTTTTAATTTTACATAAACTAAATTTAAATTATTTAAAAATTATTTTATATTCTTCACTAATTTTAAAATTATAAAATAAAAATTTTAGTTATTTCAACATTTTTTATTTAATTTATGCCCAAGTTGCCCAAGAAACGAGTGACTTGGGCAATATAGCTAATTCCATGCAACGGGTGGGTAAGTTTAGAAAGTCCTCTCTCTTAAATCGGTTTGGTTTCCATTAAAAAATTCCCAAATATTTTTCATCGTACAAATACAAAACTTATTTATTTATTAAATATATTTCCGTACACTGATATTTATACATATAACCTGTATATTATTATATTATTACGTATCTGCTGACTGCTACGTGTTCGAGTTAGCCTTTCTTCTGTGCTCATTCTTTTATAAGTAGATCGCCACACAATTTTTATTTACAAAGTGGACCAAAGAGGCATTGAAAAAGAGGACAAAGCTTTTTTTTACCGCAGAGCAAGCTCCTTGACGTATACAAACTTTCATCTCCTCGCCGCCTGGTTGTTTTAGCCAGCTTCCTCCTCCTCTGCTCGAGCATTCTACAGTCAGCAATGGCGGAGAATGAGGAACCTCTTCTCAAGCGGGTATACTACGAAGGCTGCCCTGGTTGCGAGCTTGATCAGTGGAGTGACAACAACCGCGGGATGCCGTACAGATTCTTCATCCATGTCTGGTTCATAACGCTTTGCGCCGGTAATTACTTATTGGGGTTCTTTCATCGTCTTTTCATTTTTTGCATTTCGTGTCCAAGAGTTTTCTGTTGTTTTAGGTCGTTTTTCGGTAATTTTATGGAGCCATTCTTGTGTTGTTTTAATGGAATGAAATTAGCTTTACATATTGTTATCCGGATGCCCTTGGATCTAGTGTTCGATTGTTTTTGTCGGCGAGGAGGCTATGATTGAGGTAGTTGACATGCTTTTTCCGTGGTTCTATTTGGTTGTGAGATTAGTATTTTGATGTGGGAGCTCGTATAATTACGAAGAATTTCACTAGGTTGTCGAGAGGCTTTGTCTTTCTTCCAATCCTTCCTCAAATGCATTGACAAAATTGTACTTGTGCTCACGGCTGTAAAAAATAAAAGAGCGATGTTCTTTTCGCAATCTCCGGAATTAGAGGGAAACCGTTTTTCTATTTGTTTTGGATGTTTGCCGAACTTCTTTACCTTTTGGATCTGGCTGTTTTGACCTTCTAAATAATGCACTTCGTATCGAAATCTTTTCTCGTTTTCTCCCCCGTATTTCAGTAAATTTGGCAGCCGTTCTCGTTTTGCTTGTACTTTAGTATAGTCTACTAAATGGGCCGTGTTGCCACTGTGTTGGTACTCCGCTGCTCTTGAATCTTTTATTCGTTTTGTGTGTGTGTGCGCGCGCGCGCTCGAAGAGGGCTACGATTGAGGTATTTCAGGATTTATGCCCTTTTGTGGTTTTTCTTTGGTCGATGGATCAATATTGCGATGCTCTATCCTGATTATTTACGAAGTATTTGAAATGGAGCGATGTTCATGTCTCAATCTCCTGAATTGATGGAAAGTTCGCCTTTATATTTGTATGTATTTTCTTTTTGACCAGCTTTCTTCATTAACTAGTCTCGATTTAACGAAATGGTATCGGCCGA